CAACCGTCACACAAGTGCTTTTCCTGAAGACAACCATCATCTTTCAGCATGCCACAGAAGTGCTTTTTTTGCAAATGTCCTATTTCATCGGCACAGAATATTACAAAGATGAGTACTCAAGGATCAAGATTTAGTAACATTCATTATTTTTAGTCTTTCATCAAGGACAGTGGCAGTGGAAAACACCATGTGTGGCCCTACAATAGCAGGTGCCCCTACCCTGGCATGTACGAAGGCATCAGAAGTTTAGCCAATGACTGCTGTCACACCATCCGTGCAATCTCAGTGCAGGAGGAATCAGAACACCTTCCCAGTGTTATTTTATGAAAAGAGTGTTGACCTCAAGGACTCCTGCAAGTGTCTTGGGGCCACCCAGAAGTCACAGCTTACATACATTTTGAAAACTTCTGCTTTAAAATGTGTAATGATATTAAACTCTCCCTTTTCTTAAAAATAAGTAAGTCATGGTCCCACACACACCTCACTCTAGTAATGGACCTTACTTTCCATCTTCCCTTGGACCTCATCTTCCCTTACTTTCTGAACTCCTTGGGATAAAAAAAGGGGTTGTTACCCACTAATTCCAATTCCTTACCACCTACCTACAACTCAAACTCATTCACTTCCACAACTCTCCTCACACACCCTTATTACACACAGTAATTTTTTTAGAGCAGCCCTTCTCTTTCATTATTCCTGTAGATTTTGACCTTGCAAATATTGACCCATGATGGGCAAGTGGCAACTATCATGAAAGACACAGGAAGGGAAAAGCCACGGTTCCAGGATTTTGTGTGGTCTCGTGGGGTCTCCTCCTCCTTCCCCTTCACTAGTGATTCTTCTACCTTATCCATAGCTCATGAAATAAAATACCACAGTTCTCAGTCCTCTCCTCACAATGACCCAGTCCTGAGTCTAACACGCCTAGTCTCCTCTAAACAAACGGCTGCCCAGCTGACATCCTGAGCTCTTTCTTGAGCCCCACTTTCCAACTGTTCATTGGGCACTTTTGCCCAAATGTTTCACAAGCACCTCAAACTCAACCCGAATGGATGGTGTCCTCTCCTGCACTGCCCTCTAAATGGACTCTCAGGACCTTGAGGTCATCATCTTCGTCTCTCGTGGCTCCAGGGTCTTGAGACTTCACAAGAATCTTTCTATTCATTATCTCTTCTTTCCTGATCCAGTTCTAATTTTTGATCTTATTCTCTTAACTACTGAAGTCATTTTCTAGCCATTCTCTGATCCCAGCCTCCTTGCTTGCCTCATTCCATCCTACAGTGCATCACCATTCTAAAAAGCTGAATATTAAATAGCAGGAACTAGGTTATCTCTTGGGAAAGGAAGAGGAATATGTTCAGAAGAAAATACAGTTAAGTTTCATTTGTTAACCTGAGTAATGGGTAGAGAGATGCCATTATTCTTTATACCTTTTTCATTCTCTACATCTTTCTGAAAGTCTGAAAGTAACCAAAAACACAAGGCATAGACATTTATTTAAACATGTATCTAAAAAAACCCTGCTCCTCCCAATAAGAGTTTTGAATTATTCTGCTATTTCATATATGTCAGTTTTATTTGCTTACCAGACTGCCAGAAAAAAATGTTTAATCATATTTGGAGATTGATCTTCAACTAAGCAATGACTCATAACACTAAAACTTTCTCACCCCTCCCCATCAAAGCTTGCTCAAGTAGCTAATGATAGATTAAAGCAAACCTAAATGGATTATGGTTGCCCCTAATTCAAAGGAACACAGCTGTGAAACCTATTTTAATTTACTAATTTATCTGTTCTTTAATTTGCCCCTAAGCCAAAGGTATCGTTTTGTGGGTAAATGACATTTTCCCTCTAAACAATATGTTGGTTTACCAACGAGAAAGCTCGTTAGTAAAGAACTTATTCTGTGTGACACAGCTTATTAGGACCATTTGACAGGAAAAGGGGGTATGTATTTTGTTTGTGAGCCTCATTAAGTTACTGCTTTTTGCCAGAGTAAAAAAGAAATGCTGCTTCAAAAATATATTAAAACACTGAATAAACTAGAATGTCTTTCCCTAAAGATGTACCCAGGTGAATGCAAACGGTAACAAGCTCTTTGCTTACAGGAGAAATGTCTGTGCTCACTTCAGCAGCTTATATATGGGGAAAAAATGTTCGTCTGCCCATATAACCCACTTCCCAGATGGCTAAACACGTAAATTACATGTAAATATAATTACTTACAAATTAACTAACAAATACAAAGTGCCCAGTGGTTTTGTTTTACTTTTATTTACATTTTAAACAAAGAGCTAAGAATCAAGAATTTGTAGCGCTACACGACCAGAAAGAAGGGGCTTAGCCCAGGAGCAATAATAGTAGAACCACTGAGGAATAACTTGCAGTTTCATGAGTCTGTGTGAAATTTCAGAAGCGCTTCACTTGGAGCTATTTTCATACAGCTTGTTAGTCTGGTAAAAACTGAAATGCTATTACTGACAGCACCCGGAAAACGCCTTACAAATCTTTTAAATGCTCGAAGGAAATATGGAAAGCATAAGCTCAAATTTTAAATCAAAACTTAAGTGATGACACGAAAGCCCAGAAGTCAGGGTTTGTGCATTGTGGACGTCTACACGCGTGGGCAAAAACTCAAAGTCAGTTAGCTTTAATCCACTCCAGGCTCTCCCTTAGGTTCAATGACCCAGACATAAAATTTACACTTTAATATGGCAAACTTAATGAACTCCTTTGAAATGTAAAGGATTCCATGGGAATTACAAAACATACCACCCTTTACTATTTGTCAAGTTGCAAGGTTAGGCAACCACCTCATCATCATCCAACAGGTACTTGCTTGGGCTTCCACCAACATCATGGCTATCCACACATGGTCATGCACCCACACACAGGACCATGTACCCACAAACATGAACTACACCCCTTTTCCAGACACCAACAAGGGAACACGTACCCTGTTTCTTAATTCTAGATGAAACTTCTAGAAACTTCTTGACCTTGTTCAGAGCCTAGGTATGTCCTAATTTCAGATCCTGTGGAAGCAGGTGATGCCAAATCCAAGAGCTCAGGTCTCAGGACTGACTGTACATGCAAACTACAGGTGATGTGAACATCGACCACTACACTTCAATTTAGCTCAGCCGGCAGCAAAGCATAAAAATGACTCCTCTCCCCCAGAAAGACAGCCAATTCCGCCTTGTGCAAAAGGAGGGAAGTTGACAATGGAAACTATTTATAACCTCTTTTCTTTGCCCAATATGAATCCTGAATTTCAGTCCCATTCTCGCTCTAGGGGAAGTTATAAACTCTAGAGAGGACCTCAACAATGCTCTCCATCAGAAAGGAAGAGGTTATATAATGGAGACTAGGCCAGCCAAAATGCCAGGGACATCACCACCCAGGATTACAAACACTCTGGGGGTGGGAATGAGGGCAAGAGGTGGCAGGCTTACTCTGAAATGGGCAGACAGCCCATAAATTCAATGACTGATATTTACTGCAGAGGAACAGGTTTTTATTTTCCATTCAACGCCTGGAACATAAACGAGAGAACAGATCGACACACAACAGCTTGCACATGTGGATTTTCAACCCGGAGGGTCTGTGTGTATGTAGGATGGCTGTCCTAACCAGACGCCACTGTGGACTCTCCCCTCTTCACCACCCCGCATGCTGCCTGCCCGTCCTCAGCACAAAATCCTACCATGAACCTCTTACCTGTGAACCTCTTACCTAAACCTAATGATTGGGTGTCTGGACAAAACAGAAGAGGGTGGAATTTCCCATGCTGACATGCACACAATACCTCTTCTGTGCCCAAATGCCCAGCCCCTGGCCCCATCTCATCTACCACCCATGCCAAACTGCTCTTTCTGATTTTCATCTTCCGCCAGTCCTCGTGCCCCCAGCTCATTTTTAGCTTTATTTTCACCCCCACCACCCCACTCCACTTTCCTAACGCGTCCTACTTCATGCCTACTCCCTGCCACACATCAGCAGAAACACAAAATGCACGCCAGGTGGTTAGAACATGAAGGAGTTGCACTCCCACCCCCCAGAGCTCAGAGGAGCAGGTGCCGGGCATTTCGAAGAGCAAATGTGGGTGAGTTTTCCTAAGTTCTCTTCCACATAAGCTTGTGTCTGCATGGAGGGTGAAACAGGTCTCCCTGCATAGGCCAGGGCTCCTAAACACGTGTTTCTTTAGGAAAATAGGATGTAAATTCAAAACACACAAATTAAAGACCATAGAGTTGAGTTGAGGGACCTCCCTGTCAAGAAAGGAACAATAAGTAAATTCTAGAATTGATTTTACACTTGATCTTAGCCAAAAGGCCGAGAAGTGACCTAGAATTGATTTTAAAAAATAAATAACTATTAATACACCCACAAAACACTGTAAGTCTGTAATGTCTGATACACATTTCCAGATACAGGGCGAAAAGCAAAATATAAAATGTCTTCCCAAAAAGGTTTCAATCAGTTTGGATTTTTTTTCTCCACTTCAATATTCCCCCTTAAAAAAATGTTCAGATGTTTAAAAAAAAAAGCTTCAAAAGCTCCTAAGTGGTTTTAAGTAAGCTAGTTATTCTAAGTTTTGCCTAGCTAAAGTTTCAGTTTTTTAGCCAAAGCCTGCTGTCGAATATTCTAAATCGATGGAGTACCTAAAAACAAAACAAAACAAAGTCCTGGAAACAGTCTAGTGGCTGCTTTTTCATATCCCCCCCATACCGGGGAGGTCAAAACTGAGAGGAAATAAGTCAACCCTTCGACAGTGTATGTGCACCCACTCGACTATTCCTACGCTATGCATATAATTCCAGGAATTTACATTAGTTGAACAGATCTCTGTAACTGCCCAAGGGGGGAAAAAAAAACTCCCAGACATATTTGATTTAGCAAAGCATTCCTGCAGCAAGCAGCACTCAAGTTTCACTCAGAAATGAAGTGTCATTATGTAAAATCTTTAGGGGCAAAATCATTGAAAACATATCCTTACCATTTTCATTGGTCTCAGCTGGCTTGGACACTTCTCTGAGCGGGATTATAACTGCATCTCCAGGCACTCTGGGGCTTTCCACATACTTGGGCTTCCTGACGGGACCTGCAGTGGGAGAGATCGGAGAGCGGCTAATTTTTTCCAGATGCAAACAAAGCCTCAGCCTGTGCAGCGTGTGTCCTCACCAGGACCCAAATATGCCCAAAGGAAGAGCCAGCCCTCCCCCCCCCCCGCCAAACACACACCACAGAGTCACTTCTCACAAAGCTACTCCTCCGCTGTGAGGCCTCTACAGCCGCCTTTGGTGTGTGTCAAGGAAGCGATTCTGACGTGTTCAAACCTGGACAGCTTGTGGGGAAGGGTTCTTTACTTGGATTTTTTCCTCTAATCGGGACAAAGACGACTGGGTTGCTTGGTCTCTCCAAAGTCAGGAGGCAAGGACAACAAACAGCCGGCCTGTAGCACGCTCTGAGCAGCCACAGAACGCAGGCACTGTATCAGATGGGTGCTGCATGGCCATCGTGTGGGGCAGGGAAGATGCCTGCTTTCCCTGCGGCTGACACAGCTGCCTTGAAAAAGGCACAGCAGCCAGTCTGGCCTGAGATTCGGAGGCACCAGAGTCTCTCTGAGTCCTGTATATCACTTTTCCCTCCACCCTGACTTGACAGAAAGTCTGGAATCCTTAGTAAGAAAGTGGAACCCCCATACATTGCTAGTACAACACACAGGCACAGTCTCTTTGGAAAACAGTTGGGCAGTTCCTCAAAAAGGTTAAACAGAGTTAACAAATGGCCTAACAATTCCATTTCTACGTAAATAAACATTCACATGAAAATTTGTGCATGAATGCTCGTAGTAACATTATTCATAGTAACTCAGTGTCTATCAACTGATAACAAAATGTGATATATCCACACAATGGAATATTATCGGGCCATAAAAGGGAGTGAAGTGCTGATTCATGCATGCTATAACAGACAAAACCTGAAAACATCAGTCTACCTGAAGGAAGCCAGTCCCCACGGACCACATATTGTGTGATCACATTCATATGGAACATCCAGAATGGAGAACTCCACAGAAACAAGACAGGAAAGGTTGCCTGGGGCTGAGAGAGATGCGGGTTTGTGGGCTGATGGCTTGCAGGTACGGGCCTTCTTCTTGGGGTGATAAAATATTCTAAAATTAGGTCATGGTGATGGCTCCACAACCTTGTGAATATGCTGAAAATTGCTGTGGTGCACATTTTAAATGAGTGGATTGTAAACTACGAGAATTGTATCTAAAAAATCTCCTTTACAAACAAAAAACAACAACAAAAGACTGCCTATTCTGTTTGTTCCTTTCAAACACCACATCACATCTTGGTCCAAAATTGCCCACTGGACTCTCTCGGTATCCTTGGCTGCCTGATACCAAAAGTGTGCTTTTCATGAGGCCACAGAGCCAGGACACACTTCACACCATGAGAGGAAGGGGTGGGTAGAGGGCCAACAAGGGTCCACAGCTCTCCCGGCAGCTCAGCGCCGGGCCACAGGCCTGACCCTCTGGGGGCCTCCGCTCCACCACACACTGAGGGGGTGAGTCAGGCTGGTTCTGAGCGTCCTTCTGGGTAGAACATCTCACACATCTGAGAGTCTGTCCAGAATGAGGTTTATGGTGAGAGATGCTGCCATCTAAAGGTCTGCTGCAAAAGCACCTATATACTACAATAAAAATAATCCAATTCCCAGCCAGCTATAATGCACCACATCTTAAAAAAAACTATGTTATCAGAGAAGCTTAGGGTACTTGACAAACAGGGATATTGTTTCAAACTTTAGACACCATGGTTTTTAAAACCTTTTTCTGTTCCAGGACCCAGTCTGAGATTCCACTGCGTTCTGCTGCATTTAGTCATCCTGTCTTCTGGTCTCCTCTTCCTGGCATTTCCTCAGTGGTACGGACCTTCTTTTTTCATGACCTTGACAATTTTGGAGCCTGCTGTTGACATTTTGCAGTATTTCCCTCAATTTGGATTTGCCCGACGTTTTCTTATGGACAGACTGAGGTCACAGGTTTTTGGAAGAACGCCACAGAGATGACATGGCCCCCTCGTCACATCTCATTGTCACATCTCACGATTTCAAGCATGGCTTTTACTGATGTTACTAACTGTGATCACTGAGCTTGTGGGCATTGGTTTCTCCACTGTAAGATTTCTCGTTTTCCTTTTCCATCCTCTGTTCCTAATAGGTGAGTCACTAAGTTTAGACTGCACTCAAAGAAAAGGAGAATTAAGGTCCACCTCCTCGAGGAAAGAGCGGCAAGGAAATTTTGGACATTTGTTCAAAGCGCCCCAGTCGTTAGTAAGTATTTGTGGGGCGAGACTGGGAGACTTCGAAACATCCTGTTCCAGGTCTGCCCCCGGATTTGAGTGTCCCCCCTGAGGCGTTCCAGGGTGAGTCTGAACTTGCTCCTGTCTTCACTGGCGTCACCTGGAATTCTCCTCTAAGGAACATTTGTCTGTGTCAGAGGGAATTTGTTAGTGGGTACACAGGGATGGTTCTGCGGGGGAAGAGGGAGAATGTGCTCACAGTCTAAGTGGGGATGCAGGCTACACAGCGGAACACAAGGTACGATTCAGACTTTAACCAAGAGAGACATGAATGCACAGGGACACACACAAGGAGGAAAAGACGAGGAGGGGGAAACTGAGACACTTGCTGTGGGGAGCCGGAAACTAGGAAGGGCTCGAACAGGGCGGGCGGAGAGGGAACCAGGACAAACACAAGACTGTTTCTTTACATTGGGTTTGGAACCTGCTCTCCATGGTGAAAGACCTCACATATTTCTCCCTGGTCACCTGCTCTTTTCTACTTAAAGGACTTAAGGAAGATAGCCCACTTGATTGTTATTACCTGATTATTCAAATTGTCCCAATCAGCCACCACACCACTGCCTAAGAGTTACCTGTAAGTTTCTGCTCACCTCAACCCTTCAGTTTACAGTAACAGCAGATCTAAAAAGATCTACTTCCTGGCTCCAATCTCCTTTCCCCGCCTGCCCCTCAAAAATATTCTCTAGTAGTAAGTACCCTCCAAAATGTGGGCTACATCACATGGATGTATACAAGGGTCATTAGGAATGGCCGGGATACTGAACCCTGAGGCCATCAGAGCATCCATCCTACCCGTATAACTGTCTGAACTGTGTTCTCTTCAGAAGCCAACCACGAACTATAAGAATTCCTCAACACTTAAAAAAAGACAAAAAGAATTACTCAAGACGGAGGAGTGAGGGAATTAAGAGCAGAGCCAGTAGGCTTACCACAGTGAACAGTGATGCTGGAAGCAAAAGGAGACCCGAAATATGCTGAAGTAGATAAAACACGCATTCAGAGATTCCACACAAGGCTCAGCACTCACAAACGTTAATCCATTTGATCTTATTAAATTTGGGAGAAAAACACTCTTTCCCCCATTTTTAGTTCAGGACACTGAGGCGCCAATCACTTAAACAATTTGCTCATGGCCCACACATGGCAGAAACACAGTTTTGTGGTCTGTACAGGTTTGACGTCCATGTATGAACCCACCACTTAGCACTCATAAAATTAGGAAATCCAGAGCCCTGGCTGGTGTAGCTCAGTGGATTGAGTGCAGGCCTGCGAACCAGAGGATCGCGTTTAGATTCCCAGTCAGGGCACATGCCTGGGTTGCAGGCCAGTTCCCAGCAGGGGACTCATGAGACACAACCATACATTGATATTTCTCTCCCTCTCTCATTCCCTTTCCCTCTAAAAATAAATGAATATTAAAAAAAAACCACTAGGATATCCAGATTCAGGCATTTGTAGGAAAGGCCAGGGCAGGGGAAACCGGCCATGGACTTCACCTACATAGTCAGCGACTGTCTTGCTCATTCTTACTTGTCTGACACCCCCCCACCCCTCGACTTTGACTAGGAGTTGAAATATTATGAGGTGAATATAAACAACGGCTCTCCAACATGGTCCTTTGATTTAAATTGCTTTTCACAAAAAGCTGGACCTCAAACACTACAAAATAAAAGAAATCACCCACTTCTCCATCACTCATTAGAGAGTCTGCATTCACTTTCCATTAAATACAGCAGATGAATAGTCGTTTGCCTTTACTCCCTTTCAAAACACCATGAGAGTCGCAGTGAAAGGAATTGAGAGAAACCAATCGGGGAAGGAGACCACCACAGGCAAGAAACCAATCTTCTGAAAACAGGAAACGGAGGAGCAGTGGATGGCGGCAGCTAGGACCCCCGAGTGCCAGGAGTGGGGTGTGGGGGGTGGGGGACAGGAGCCCTCGGTCTGAGACCAGAGATTCCTCTGGAGGCAGTGGCATGGGTGGGGTCAAACTCAGGACCATGGGTTGAACATCTATGTAAGATGCCCCTACCTGCCCCGGGTGCATTCTCTCCCTCACCCTGGAGACTGAGTTTTTCTCTGGGAAGGCTGAATGCCAAGGCCGCACAGACGCAGGAGCTATACCCGTGAGGGCTACACTGAATAACTGAGATTAAGAAAAAATCTTGCAGGCTGGTGGGTCCCAGATGGACGCATCCTCCTCCTCAGCTGTCAGAGCCCTGACAGCACGCTTGCCCTCCAGCGCAGGAAGGGACTAGAAGATTCCTCTCTGGGGAAACTCAGCTAGAGAAAAAAGACCTATAAATCATCACAGTTGGAGACACGCCCCCAAATAACTGGCGGCTCCCTGATGGATCACACTAGCCAAAGCCTGCGCTCAGTACACACCCGGGCCTTTCCTTCAGCATTTTCCCACCTCATACTTGCCTACCAGTGAGGGTCACCAGTTAGGAAAGAGCCCACCCTGACGGCCAGCCACCAAACCAGGTTAAAAAAAGAACTCTGAGGAGCTGAAGAAAACAGGAGGAATGCTCTCCAGAATGAGAGGAGCTACAGCACCCACCACACGAGGGGCCATGTTCGGGGTCCCTGAGGTGGTCGGCTGAGCAGACTGACTGCACACTGAGGACAAATGGAGGCCACACCAGTTAGAAGCCACTGATATCATCAGGCACTAACCTTATACTTAAACTGTCATCTGTTAAACCACAATGATGTGGACAGG